ACATCAGGAACTTCCTTGATCTGGATGCTATGAAACAACTAAAAAAGTATGATAAGTGCCGTTCCCATCATTATGAGTTTCTGAGCACATTTATGATGCCATAAAATAAAGTTGTAGTCAGTGATTTATGACCAACATGATTGGCCAGTTGTAGCTGTCCTGATTGTTTTATTTTATATAAGATCATAAGGCCTATAGTTGAAAGGGACTTTAGAGATTATTTAGTCCAATTACTTCATTTTACACATGAAGAAACTGAGGCCATGAGAAAAAGTGATTTGATCAATAAATAGAGATGCTATTTAAACCCAGGCTCTCTAACTAGAGAGCTAGCACTCTTTCAATTACATCACATCACCGACCTAAGCAATCTGGTTATTTTAATTATCTTAACATAATTGCATTATCTTTTAATAAATTGATTCATTGATCATTTTGACAATTGGAAGAAAAAAATTCCCTCCCCCTACTTTTTTGGTCAACCTGGGGTAGCTAGGTGGCACAGTGGGTAGAGCACTGGGCCTGCAGTCAGGAAAACTCTTTTTTTTTTAATTTCAAAATTTCAAAATTTAAAATTTCAAAGTGTCTTCAGACACTTACTAGCTATGTGACCCTGGGCAAGTCACTTAACCCTATTTGCCTCAGTTCTTCATCTGCCAAATGAACTGGAGAATTAAGTGCAAACCACTCCAGCATATTTGCCAAGAAAATCCCAAATGTGGTCACAGAGTCAGACACAACTGAAAAAACTACTGAACAACAACAGGGCACTTTATTGTGAACTGATACTGTCTAAACAAACAAAGGGAAATGGAAAGATAAGGAATTATCTAGGTATGTTCATGAATGAAATAAGAATAACACATTCAGGTTAAAAAAGTGCTTCCTTAATTGATTTATTCATATTATTCCTTTGAACAAAGACTTATAGTGACATGTGTTGTTTCCTAACAAGCAAAGTTCTAAAAAAATTTCAGACATTCAGGTTATTACCATTTTACCTTTGCATTCTTACTTTATATTACTCCCTTCTATGAATCTTAGGATCCAGCCAAACTGGATTATGATGCTCAACTCTTCTCCTTCTATCCCCACCACACACATACACATTCTTGCCCATCTCTATGCCTTTGCCCACATCACTTTTTCCTGCTCATGAAATGTCATCCTTCTTCCTCTTCACTTCTAGAATTCCTATCCCACCATTAAAGCCCAAATTAAATGTGAACTATTCTGTAAAGTCATGGATCCCTTGGCAGTATTCTTTGAATCTTATAAGCCTATCCTTCAGATCTTACATAGCACTTTGTCTTCTCTTATCTAAAACACCTATATAATAATTGCTATTATAGATTATAGTTGTGTCTTTGTCTTATCTCTTTACTGATCTATAAGCTCCATGAGAGTGTAGATCTTCTCTTTTCTACACTTTGGATTTGCCCCCCAGCTTCTATGCTTTTATTTTTATAATTTTTTATTTAAAAAAAATTATCAAACATTTATCTTTTGTCTCCTACCTCCACCCCACCTGCAGAGGGGAAAGAGAAATACAAAACCCTTCTGTCATATATACAAAAGGTAGGTGCTAAAAAAATGTTTGGTGAGTGAATGAATCGACAAATGAATGAATGATACTTGATTTCATTATGGAATAGATTGTGGCAGCACAATCTAGTCCACAGGCTACATGGCCGTATCTAGAACATACTATAGGTTTTGATTCATTTTATTATCATTTGATTCAATTTGTGCTTTTTTATGTATCATCCATCCAAAAAATGAGAACAATTAAATTAAACCAATTAAGTCATATTACGGATTGAAAGAAGACATGTTGTCTAAATTATTTTCTTTGCAATATATATGCATCAACTTCTCTTCCTTTGCTTCTAGTCTGAGTTCCATCATGTTCTGCCCAGGGGAACTTAGAAAAGTTACTTCATCTGAGGCAACAGGACTCATGGAAAGAACATGGTATTGGGAGTCAGAGGTTCTAGTTTATATCCCCACTTTTCTAATAATGAACTATATGACCTTAGGCAAATCATTTTACTTTTATGTCCTAGATGATCTCTAAGGACTCTTTCAGATCTAAATATTATGATTTCCGATGTATTCTCTGAGCTTCAGTTTCTTCTATAAAATTAGAGGACTAGACTAGATGAATCCTAAGGTTCTTTCTATTTCTTGTATTCTGTGAGCTTACAAGATTACTTGTATGTCCTTTACCCTTCAGGTTGATGAGAGAAAGTAGTCAGCCACACTCTTCTGCATTCAAAATGGGTATAGATTATTGTAAGGTCCAGGGCTTATTTTAGTCATTGACAGAACAGACAACTATTTCAGTGATGTGATGTCAGTGATCAAAAACATACAGAAACATACTCCTACTCCTTTCCTTTCCTTATGAGTTTCTCATTTCACAACCTAAGGTTTAAAACATAAAACACCACATGAAGGTATAACATAGGGACAAAAATCGCATTATGATGCAAATGACTGATACCATATCTTTCCTTAAGTCGTTTTGGCAGGAAAGGAAAAATGCTGCAAAATGTTCAGAGAAAGGTGACCAGGGTAGCAAAGGGCCATAGGAGCAAAGGATGATTCTGAGGATCAGTTGAAGGAGTTAGAGGAGACTTAAGGGGACCTGATAGCTGTGTTCTTATATCTTAAGGTTTGTGAAGGAAAAAAGAGGAAACAATAGGAGGAAAGGGTGGAAGACTATGTGTTGGGGATGTTGTAAAGGAGGATTTCTCCATAAGTATAATTTGAACTAGGGGGTCTTAATGGTCCCTTAAAACTTTGAAATTTTGTAGTTATGAAAAGTGGAAGAAAGGACACAAAAAATACCTAAGAGTGAGTTAGATGTTATAGAAAAGGGAAACTGACAGTACCAAGGGTTCTCATTGTCAGAGGACTTTTCTTCTAGCTAGAATCTAAGGTTGATTTGGGGTGTTCAGGGAGGACTAGCACCTCTAGCATAGGGGCTTGCAAGCCCTTTTCAGGGCTTCTCATCCACCTTTGATGTCCACCTGATTCACCCAACTCTCACCTGTGCCTCCATGAAGCAGTAGTATGCACAGTAATCACATCCTGGTAAACCATTTTGATGGTCTAAACTAGTCTGAGGGTAACTGACAGTCCTCAAACCCATCAATGTGTTGGAGGATGTCTAGCTCAAGCATGTGAAGACTTCCCCCTGGGCAGAAGTGGTGGATGAGAACAGTATGCACTAATGTCCATGAAAACAACTGAAGCAGGTGCTATGGAGCACTTAGAGTTTAGTCAGGCATCAAAGATTCCAGGGTCATCCACTGCATCCCAAACCATCACCAGTCATCTTGACTTTTGTCTTGTCATTGGATTTTGATGACTCTGGAAGAGACAGTGAGACTGATACATGTGCAACTCTGCCTCACTTAAATCCAATTCACATGCAAGTCAAGACATCACCTATAATGTCATTGGTCCTCATTGAAAATGAAGGACAAATAACAAAACAACAAGGCTTATTTGATGTGAAGTCAAGATGGTCTCTATGGTAAGATAGTGTTTGCTTATCAAAAATCATAGAATCAGCCTGAGGAAATACCATGTAGTTGTGTCTTTTCTTTCACATATTTCTGTATAATGAAAAATGACAGGAATGCATTGTATTTGCAAAACACCACTTTTACAAAGCCTTTCCCCCATGTATATACAAACAATATTTGATTTAATCATCATGAGTGTTGAGAGGCAACTCAAAAATTTTTGTCCTTCTGATACAAATGAGGAAACTGAAACTCAAAGAAAAGTCAATAACTTGCTTAAGTTAACATAGGTTACCAGAGATTGAATTCAAACCCAGATCTTTCTGAATCCAAAGACAGTATTCATTTTACTATGCAACAATAAGTCCATATAAGATACATATAATCAATTAATGCACTTTCTAGTACAGGGCAACAAAAAATTTACAGCTAACTTTTATATAATATTTTAAGGTTAGCAAAAGCATAACATATTCACTCATTTCATCCTCACAAAAAACCTATTAGGTAAGTATTATTATTATGCCCATTTTGTAAACAAAAAACCTGAACATGAGAAAGGTTGAAGAAACATGCCCAGAGTTTCTTAAGCTAGTAAGCATCAGAGGTAGGATTTAAATTCAGGTCTTCTTGACTCCAAGCCCTCCTCTCTGGCCATTGTATCACTTAGCTTAGACACTTCCCTGCTTTTTTGACACTGAAGTCCATTTGGGTATGACATAAAGGAAGAATTAATGCTTATGATTATTATATTGAGCATCATAAGGAGGCAGAAAACTAGATTTAGAGTCACAGGAGAGAATTTGAATCTCAGCTCCACCATCCACTTACTATATAACCCAAAGACTTCCTCAATCTAGCCTCCTCCCTCCTTCTAGTCTTATTTCTCATCACATCCTTCCATGTATACTCTATTCCTGTCAGAATGGCCTTCCAGTTGTTCCCAGTGAACAGAGACTGCTTCATTTTTTAACTTTGTATCCCAAGAGTGGGTTTTTTTAACCTCTTCTGTGTCATAGATCCCTTCAGTTATTTGGTGAAGCCTGTGGACCCCTTCTGACAATAATATTTTTAAATATATAAGAGGAAATGAATAAAATTATAAAGGGAACCAATTATGTTGAAGTATAGTTATCAAAATATGTTTTTACATTAATGAACCCCATATTTAGAACCATTTTCTAGAGCTCGACATAGTGCCTGTTGTTGAAGTCACTTCTCCTTTGTTGGTCTTAATTTCTTTAACTGTAAACTTAGGGCATTAAAATGAAGTCTATGGTTCCTTTCAATCCCAGCATTCTGTGAGCTATGATACTGGTATACTTCCATCCTCCCTATGTAGCTATCTTTCAAGGGTGAAAAGTAGTAATGATGCTAACAAAAAGTATAGCAGTAGTAATAGTTGATATAAATGTATATTGATATAAGGTTTGCACAGGGCTTTAAGTTTGGAGGATGTATGTTTCAATAAAGAGAGGTTCTGGTAATGAGGGTTATCTCAGAAATCTTCTTGGACTTCAGTTTTCGAGTCGCAAGTTTCCTCATGGTAGCTTTCATGTTTTTATTTCTTAAGGTGAAAATAATGGGGTTCAAGATAGGGGTGAAAATAGTGTAAAATATAGCAAGGACTTTATCCACTGGGTAGGTGGTGAAAGGCCACACATAGATGAAGATGCTGGGACCAAAGAACAATGTCAGGACCATGATGTGAGCACTCAGTGTGGAAAATGCCTTAACCATTGCAGCAGAAGACTTATACCAGACAGGGAGCAGAATGAGTATATATGAAATGGACAAAAGGTAGAAAGTGCTTAAGGAAAGAATCCCACGATTGACCACAATTAGTATTTCTATGGTATAGGAGTCAATGCAGGCAAGTTTGGTCACTCTGGGAAGGTCACAGAAAAAGCTATCCACCACATTGGGGCCACAAAAAGGCAAATTCACAGTAAATGACAACTGGCTCATGGTGTGTACAAAACCAGTAGCCCAGAAGGCTAATACTAATGTAGTACAGACCTGCTGGTTCATGATGGTCACATAGCGTAGAGGTTTACAGTTGGCCACATATCTATCATAGGCCATGGAAATGAGTAGCACCATCTCACCACCAGTGAAGAGGTGATTGAAGAAAATTTGGGCTATGCAGCCATTGAAAGAGACTTAAAGAATTATTTTGGGGAATTTTTTCTTCATGGAAACACAAATAAAAGAGGGAGCTCAAGAGTCAGGATATGTTTCCAAATCCTCATTCTAATGCTGACTACCCTAGGTGACTTTGGGCAAGTTACTTAACCTTTGGGGGTTTCAGTATCCTTATTTACAAGATGTGGGGTATTTGATCTAGGAGTTTTCAATCTTCTTAACATCATGGACCCCTTGGGTAGTCTGGTAAAGACTTTGGAACTCTTTTTAGAATAATTTTTTTGTTCAATCATTTTTCAGTTGTTTCTGACTCATTGTACCTCTAAGAATAATGTTTTTAATTACATTAAAAATACATTGGATTATGAACAAAGTCAAGTGTAGTGAAATAGCTTTAATTTTTTAAGGATTTTTAAAAGGCAATTTCATGAATCCCAAGTTAAGATGCCTTGCCTTCTACCTACAGATTTTTAAGAATAATTTAGTTTCAATCATAGGGGACAGTCATTTCTCGATCCCATTTTCATACTTGCCCCCACCAATATGCTATTTGTGGGATCAATTATCTGTTCATTTATCTCATTTCCACACAGTACTGACACGCATGTAGAGGTTCCAAATACAAAGCATGGTTTCCTCTAGTTGGAAGAATTCAGAAGTGTTGCAGTCCTGGAGAAATTACCACATGTTGCCTGGAAGTTTCTATCTATCTATCTATCTATCTATCTATCTATCTATCTATCTATCTATC